ATCTCGATGGACTTCATCGTCGACCTTCCCCGATCACATGGACATTCTTGTATCTTTGTGGTGGTGGATCTCCTCACAAAGATGGTGCACTTCGTTCCTTGTCCAAAAATCCCCACAGGGCCGGAAACTGCCCATATCTACCTCCATCACATCTTCAGGCTACATGGGGCCCCAGCGCAGATCATATCAGATCGAGGCCCGCAATTCTCTTCCCGCTTCTGGCAGGCCTTGCACCAGGGACTGGGGACTCCCCAAACCGACGGCCAGACGGAGAGAACGAATGCCACTCTTGAACAATATCTCCGCTGTTATACCACGTACCAACAAGACAACTGGTACTCCTTGTTACCTTTGGCCGAGTTCGCCTACAATAACGCGGTGCACTCGTCCATCCAAGCCACCCCATTCGCAGCCAATTATGGATAAAACCCCTCTGCTCCAGAGCCCGTTGGACCCCCATCTGACGTTCCTGCTGCAGATGCCAGGATCCAAGAGCTCCATGCACTTCACGAGCTCCTTCGGGAGCAATTACAACATGCCAAGGAAGCCTATAAACGGGCAGCGGACCGCCACCGACAGGAAGGGACACCCCTGAAAGTCGGCGACCTCGTCTGGCTCTCCACCCGGTACCTCCGCGCTCCTGGCCGCTGTGGACTTTTGCTTGCTTGCGTCACGCCCCCTGGTCCTGCCATGACACTTATCTCACTACATATACTAACCTCATTAAGTCCTTACATCTATATTCTCACCAATCCTCCAGAAAGGACATACATCTTTATATTATTGTATTTCTTAATTGGAATAGTAGATTAGAATAGTAGATTGCAATGTAATGAATAGTAGAATGTAATGTAACTTTGGAATGGTAGATTGGAATGTATTTCTCTGGTCTGGGAACAGTCAATCACCTCACTTCAAAGAAGATGTTGTAAGGTTGCCTCCATGCTTGAGAGGAGACGGATGGAGCATATTGGCAGAGTTTCAGTTAATTACTCTCAGCATTCCACAATTATGGATACATCTGTCCATCAATCTCCAATTTTGTCATATTTATTTCCTTCACTATGTTTTCCCCCAGAATTAAATCCAAAGAAATGGTAACCATATAAATTAAGCTTGTTTGGGCCTTGAATCTGTTGAATGCTGATTTACTGCTCATGTTCAACCTATATGTATAGACTGGTAACTTCCATTTCATTGTTGAGTACACAAAAAAGCTTATACCTTAAACTCTGTTGGTCTTAATGGTGCCACTGGACTCAAACTTTGTTCTGCTGCTTCAGGCCAATACGGCTACTCACCTGGACTTAGACAAGAGAGACTTACGAACATATCCCTGCTCAATCATAAAGCTTACTGGATGGTCTGGGTCAATCACTATGGCCTCAACCTAATCCATGTCAATATGTTGTTGGGAGGATAAGGGGAAGAAACTATACCACCCTGAGTTCCTTGTAATATAATCAATTAATTACCTTCTTGGGACTTCAGGGAAATGAAGAAAAGGTGAAATGACTAGTTCCTGGGTACCATCTCTTTGTCAAGATATAGTAAGACAATGAACCAAAGCCAGAATTATTCATTTAGATTGGTTTTGGTAATGGGGCAAAGTGGGTTACAGTCTTGGGATAGTTGAAAGGTGTTGAAACCTATTCCATACTCCAGACCTTGAGGTCACAATATACTGAGTGGCATTCACTCCTAACAGAAAATAAGTGAAATATTTCTCCTCCTCTCCCACCTACCCATAAGACTGGTCACTTGATTACTAGTGGCAAGGATTCCAGTATGTTGTGTATGTGAGCAACGCAAACAGAACTACCTCCCCCCCCCAACTCCACCTAAGAGGCTTTGTCATATAAAGCCCCCTTTGAAATATAAATATATTTTAGTAGTAGGCTAGAACAAAGAAGTTCTTTCACTGTCAGCAGGTTTTTTCAAAGTTGCTACTCACTCAAGGATCGAGTAAAGTTGTTGGGAGTAATAACGTATCAAAGGAATGAAATTCAATGGCCAATAGTTTCTGTTTCTTCTTTGATGCAACACAAATGTTCTCCAACAATAGGCATAATCTACAGAAATAAAATCCTGTTATTTTAGGAGAGAGAGAATGTGTGAGTGGGTGTGCCCAAACTACAGGGAGCTTCAGAGTAAGAAGCTCTTACATTTGGTTCTCAGAAGGCCTGGTAGATCAAGCTGAGCCAATGTGAGGCTTGGTAATAGCCCCAAACAGTTCAAGATAGCCCTTCCCATCTCCAAATGGGAAGAGAGAGGTGAAAGAACAAGAGAACCAATCTCAGGCATAAAGTTAGACAATAAACTAAGGAAAAGATCACCACACTGGGAAAAACAGATGAATACTTGTGAAAGACAATGTTTGAATTAGCTATTTGTGAGAGAACAAAAGTATATTGCTGTGCCAGGGCTTTTTTTCTGGGGGAATGCGCTGGAATGGAGTTCTGGAACCTCTTCAACAAAATTCTTTTTAAAAATGTTTAATTAAAAGTTCATGAGTTTTCAGTATACAGATTGAAAGCTTCATTTCCCTCTTGAGAGTTCTGGCACCTCTTTTTTTTTAAAAAAGAAGCAGCAGCCCTGGCTGTGCCTATAATCAACAATCGAAAGCTAAAATTCATGAATGATGAATCAGCACTTCTGTAACAATTTTAAGCATACAAAGTCCTTTATACTTCTTTGCTCACATATGCGGGCCTGACAGAAGCCCTCAAGGGGCCTGATCCAGCCCGCAGGATGCATATTTTACACCTGTGGCCTATGGGGCCCATTAACTATAATGGTCCCCATAGGCTATAATGGAGCTAGAAAAAATAGATTTTTTTTCACACCCATTATGCTTTTCAGTATGATTTGTAAGCTGCCTTGAGTCACAGGAAAAGTAGGATGTAAATATTTGAATAAATAAGTAGTTTGGGCAGGTTGATAACATTTAAGCAACTTCCTGTTTGTAAGGTTAGGCAGGGTTCTGACAGTGATTGTTCCACCTCTCAGATACTTGACCTGTAAAATTGTCATATTTCACTAACAAAAAAACACAAAGTACAATGCAAGAGTCCCCCCCCCCCCAAGGTGCTGGTATGTTTTCTAAGGCTCAGCACAGGGTGACAGTCTGAGGCCAGGTCTACCAATACAGTGGACTTGGAGCAGGTAGACCTGTTCTCCAGAGGCTGGGTCTACCAATATAGCGGAAAGGGTGGGTAGACGTGTTCTCTGTAGGCTGGATCTACCAATATAATGGAAAGGGGAGGGTAGACCTGTTCTCTGGAGGCCAAGTCTACAGTAGGAGGAGGAGGAGACTGGATTTATACCCTTCCCTTCACTACCCGAAGGAGTCTCAGAGCAGCTTACAATCTCCTTTTTCTGAAAGGACTGAGAGAGCTCTTTCAAGAACTGTCTTGAGAGAACAGCTCTGAAAGAATTTGTCACTGACCCAAGGTCACACCAGCAGCTGCATATGGAGGAAGAAGAAGAAGAAGAAGAAGAAGAGATTGGATTTATACCCCGCCCTTCACTACCCAAAGGAGACTCAGAGCGGCTCAGTGTGGGGAATCAAACCCAGTTCTCTCAAATTAGAGTCCGTGCTCTTAACCACTATACCAAACTGGCTCTCCCTTATAGTGGGAATGGGAGGCTAGACCCGTTCTCCGGAGGCCAGGTCTACCAATATAGTGGAATGGGGAGGATAGACCTGTTCTCTGGAGGCCTGGTTTACCCCCAAAGAAGACATTTTCTGTAATAAAATTTTACTTGATTGTGTTTTCTCTTATAATGTTTATTTTTTTCTTAAAATATAGTTTAAAATAATTCATTCTGAGATTTTTACAACATTATGGAAATAATCTAAAAAACTAATTTATGCAATAGTCAAATGTAGACTCGCTCACAACTTTAATGCTACTAGGTTTTTTCACTCATGAGGTAGGATTTCTGCTCACAACACTGTGGAGCTTAGAGGGAACACTGACTGGGACTCCATGGAATCTGCTCAGTTCTAGATTGTGCTACTTTCCTTCATTCGGCTACTAAATGACCTTTTATATATTATCTGTTTTTTCCCCTTTTTGTCTCTTTAGAAGGTAATCTGATAGGATAGAACTTGTCTTACGTTTTAATATTGTTCTGCACACACCTAGATGTTGGTGGTGCCTCATAAACAGTAAATATTGTCTTCTCTGTCAGAACTATGTTTATTTATTTATTTATTTATTTATCATTCGACTTGTTATACCGCCCTAACCCCTAGGGGTCTCTGGGCGGTTTACATTTGTAGTGGTTCTAATAACCGTTTACATCCCTAACTTGGGCCACACATGATGGGGTGGGGGAACCTACCAGCACCCAGTTGGAGGGCCTCGTTTTTTTCTGTTGCTCTGGTGTGGCTGTTGCTTCCCCCCCCCCCGGCGATCTTGTTCTCCTGGCGTCTTTTTTCCCAGCGGCTGTCGCTGGTGGGACTGCGCAGGCGCACGACTCCGCGCTCGCCTCTAGGCTCTGGCTCTGTCCAGTCAGGCTCTGCTGTGCCCTGTGCTGCGTGTCATCAGGCGCCGCCCAGTCTCTCGCCTCTGCCGCCGCCGGTCACAGGATGGTCTGCTCACCGCCAGGGATCGCTCTTGTTTGTTCTGCAGCCACTGCGTCGCCATCCACTTCCACCGCCAGATGCTCCGTCGCCGCCATTGCCACAATGAATAAGAATGGCCTTTCTCAGGTTACCACTTGTGTTGCCTCAGATGGTGGAGGCAACCGAAGCAGGGCCTCCAAAGATGATTCCCACTGTTAACAGTTTAACTGTGTAGACCCCCATTCAACATCCACCTTCTATATATATTCCAGAATAATATCTCAGCTGCACTAAAAATTTGAGCTACTGCCATTAATTCAGTGCCTATTTAAATGTGACCATTTTTTTTATCTGATATTTTAAATTATGTATTCAATATTTACTTCTTCCTAAAGTTCTGAAAATTCTTTTTGCTCAGGTATTTCAGTTATTGTTATATTATCATTTTGTCTAATAGCCTATGTGCTATGTAGACTTCATTGAATAAGCGAAAATGTTACAGAATTATTAACTTACCAGGCAGTTGCATGACAGATATCTTGACTCCATGATTAGCTAAGGCCCTGAGACCATTCTGGTTCCGCCAGTCAGAATATCTGAACAGCTGAGAGAATCGTATATCCAATGTTATGTTAGGATGTTCCTCCAAGAACTGAATTATAGAGTGGCTACACCTACCACAAGGACTCCAGGACAGAAACCAAGTGACAGAGCATGGCTTGGTTCTCTGGCGGTTTATCACTTCACAGGCATTTTCCAAAAAATTGATTTCAGCATGCTGGGCAAAATTGTTTGTACACCATTGCTTCCAGGTCTTGCGGCTACCATCCCAGTGGATTACATACAAGAGATGAGTAACCTCTGGGGGTTCTGTTGGGGTATAATTCCTTTGAAATGTCTCCGATTCTATTCTCCACCTGAGGCACAAATGTACAAATGTAACAACAGAATTTAACCTTTTGTTTTGCTTTATGTTATGTATATTTTCTGAACTTAGAAACGCCTTAGAACAGACAGTTATGAGTAGACATATCTCACTGTGTGTGACTTTCATATGCAAATTTCACCTTCAGATGAAGAATCCAAGAAAAAGTCTTACGAAGACCAAATTTCACAAAGAAAGTTGGGGGTATCTGGACCTTCAAACATCCTTATGCGAATGATGAATATCTCATTGAATTATATTATTAAAATAAACAAGACGTAAAGGTCAGCAATACAGGACAATGTTAAGTTTGCCAGCCTGCCAAAATTGCAAAGCAAAATTTGATGTTACAAAGTGATGAAAGTTGCTCCCTCATTCTCTTTTCAAACATGCTGTATGAGTGTCACTTGAACCAATGCAGCAGACACCTCTTTTTCACCCAGTATGGAACTCCTGGATGCAGTAGCTTAATAATGAGTCAGAAATTACTCAGAAGTGATATTGGAAAATGACTGAGAATTCCTGTAAAGGTGGGGGGGGGGGTGGAAACAAAACTGTATAGATAAATGTAAATGGCAAAACAACACAGCAAATGCCTTTGCTTCCTAGCTACTTGGTTTGATATGTACTTCTTTCCCTCAAAGCTTTCTACTCCTAAGTGGCGCTGCATAGCTTTGTATGTTTATGAAGAGTGCAGTATAATTGCGCTCCTTACCTTTGGTGGTTACCTCCAGCTTGTCCTGTGGGACATAAATTATACTATTTAGCTCTATACACACAACCCAAAAATCTACTTTTAACAAAGTAGTGATACATTCTTATGCAGACTTATGCACAAAGCACATACATCTCCCCCATTGGCAAAATCCAAGGGCTGGCCGTTTTCCATTGGGTTGGCAACACTACCACATAATTAAACTGTTGATTAAATATTATTATTCATACATAGACATGTGGATTCGCAGGCGTATGCTTTTATAAAGATGCATGTGCATATAAATATCAAAAAACAACCCCAAATAACTGGCACGTATACTTATTCCATGCATTTTATTACCCACATGTACTGCTCTATAACACTATTTTAGTCTACTTCTGTACTTTCTTACCAGCCTAAACTGAAAAGCTTTTCATTCAATGAAACTTCAATCACCGTTCACATTCTTTCGTACTCTTATATTAATGCCCGTTCATTGTTCAGGAGGAAGAGAGGCATTTATAATACAAAATAGCATTTTTGCCAATGTAGATCGTATTGCATGGGGTCGCAAAGAGTTGGACTCGACTGTGCGACTGAACAACAACAACAAAAAGATCGTATATTTGTATTACAAACCAGACTCAAGCAACATTCTGTGAGATGCCAGTATTTTAGAACACATTAAACTTTTGTGTAATTGTATTCAATAGCCATGTCCACCCACTCATTTTTTAAAAGCAGAAAGTTGGTGGGATGATACATGATACTCTGTGTTGCAGCTTCCAAGATTTGTCTGTAGACTATATGGTCTCAGTGTTCTGAATAGTTGCTGAATTTCATTCTGCAGGAGTTCTGCAACTGAGGACTGCAAAATTCATTGTACACCTGTGAAAAAAACTCTCATTATTTTATTCTATAGACAAAAACAGCTGAATCCACATTCAGAACCGTATTTTACCTCTCTCTTCTTGCAGCTGTGGTTCCATCCTAATGTGTTTCCAGAATATTAAAAGACTACTTCTTTTATATATGGTTTCCTACTTTCATTTTCTATTCTCCAGAAAGTTTCTATTCTAAGCGGAACTCCAATGTGATAGTATCATAGACTCTGCCTAGCTTACCCAAATTTGTCAGATCACAACTTCAAATACAACGAACAGTTTGGGAGCAGAAGTTTTTCCCTTGGGGATCCAAAAACTCTGGTCTAGATCCACATAAACATCAACATACTTGGTTCTATGCTATTTGTATAAATTCTTATTAGACAAATGAGCAATTAAATGAGAAAGCCTGAGAGTCATAATGTTGCATGTGGTTGCAGTGGATGCATGAATATTACAAAAGTATGCAAGTATAGCAAGATGTGCCTGCATTTTTAACACCCTTTAACAAGCATCAGACAATCCTGATCGTATAAGGACTCTTGGAACCAAACTACACATTATGTCATGGATCAGATCCACAACATGTGCTTTCATCCTTAAAAACAAGTGGGGGGAACAGCCAGTGTAGATCAAGGCCATGGTAAATAGGAAAAGGGTTGTTAACTTTTTCTTTCACATTGTTAGCCTGTTAGTATCATACACACACATACAGCTTTCATTCAAGGCTGGAAAGAAAGACTGTCTTTTTGCCCCACTAGGAACAAAAGTGGCCAGTGGGTGGGCACGAGGGGGGGGGACTGAACATTTGGACAAGACAAATTACATGGATAGAAAGATTTAACTCTTCCTTCTACTGTCCCCTTCCAAGATGGGTTCTCCAGTAGCTGCTTTTTAAGTTATTCTCTTATGCGAACAGTGCAGAAGACACGAGCATGCTCTCTGTGGTAAGTTGTGCCACATAACAAGAGCCATTGCCCGGGAAGACTTGCATAAACTTTACATCCGTTTCATGTATTCTTCTTTTTGGTGTTAAATTTCTGATTTGTGTTAAATTAATGTGACAGCTCTCCTAACAGAATACCAGTTTGACAGCCTGTGTTAGATGTCTTGTTTAAAACCATCTCAGAGGATGCTCTGTTCGAGGCATACTGGATCAGCTACATTACCTTCTGCACCTATAATATGCACCTTCTCCCCATATGAGCCCCGTAGAGTACTGAGGTCCACCAACCAACATCTTCTGGTGGTGCCCGGCCCCAGGGACATCCAACTTATTTATTTATTCCTTCGATTTGTAGACCGCTCACCCCCTAAGGGCCCTGAGTGGTTTTACATATAAAATTCATTACACTCTCTTCCTAGGGCCACACACATACAATTGAGGGGAATTGACTAACCTAACAGGCACCCATAGTCTTCGTTGTTATAGTCTCTTTTTGCGGGAGGTCTTTTCAATCCGGCGGCGTCATCTTTTTTCTTTTCTGGCACAGGTCTTCCTCTGGTCATCATGGCTCCTTTCCAGGTATGGACCATAGTGCACGTCCGCACATGCTCCCGCAGCCGGCCTCTGTCCGGTTGGCTCCGGCCTACTGCGTCGGTCCACCTCCGCGCTCTGTCGGCCCAGTCTCCGCTCAGTCGCTCGCCTCACCACTGCCGCCATGTTCTCTGCCGCTGCCGCCCCCGTTACTCCGCTGCTCATGCCGCCGCCACGCCATCGCGAAGGGAAGGACGGGTGCCTCCCCGCTCTAAGAGCAGGTACCCATTTGTCTACTTGCCCATACGGGCTTTCGAGCCGCTGGGTGGGTGGGAGCTGGGATCTGGACCAGGAGCTCACCCTGGCCACGGTGGGGCTCGAACAGCTGAAGCTGTTCAGCCAGATGGAATGCAGGCTTCATTTACTGCCTGCGCCAACGCTCCCTTGCCTCAACCAGGGTCAGGGCCTTTTCGACCCTGGCCCCTGGATGGTGGAATGAGCTCCTATGTGAGATCAGGGCTCTGCGGGATTTACTACAATTCCGCAGGGCCTGCAAGACTGAGCTCTTCCGCCGGGCCTTTAGTTGAGGCAGTGGGCATTGGGTTCCTTGGGTTCCTCCATCAGTAGCCTGGGTCCTTTGAGATCCTAAATTTTGGGATCTCCAAGCAAAAACTTGAATTCAACATCATTAACCACTGAGACATCTGGTTCTTACTAGAGTTGTATTATGTGATGCTGTATTGTATTTTAAATGTAAATTGTGTTTTACATTGTTTTAATTGTATTGTATTTTATTGTTGGAAGTCGCCCTGAGCCCATCAAGGGGAGGGCAGGATATAAATCCAATAAAATAAATAAATAAATAAATGTATCAACTGGACAATCATACTCAAAGAGAATCCTTTTCCAATTTATTAATTACAAGCTAAGGAAGAACTACTAGTTATGAACAGCATGTTTCTGCTGCTGAAAACAATAGCTCTGTATCCTTTTCCTCCTCATCTATGATGTTCAACTGTGCATTCATGCATTTTTCACTATTCGCACTCCCTACTTTGGGGGGGTATGTACACAGTCATGATATTAGGATTTAGGCTTTGAAAAAAGAAATGATGGAGGGACATTGCCAATTTGAGAAGCAGTCCTGAGTAATGTTTAGTCCCACTCTTGTTGTATGGAATTTCCATGATGCATTCTGTTTTGAAATGCATACCTGAAAACTTCAGGAAACAACACTGAGAAACTGAAACATCCTTCATGTAACAGGAAGGGTTCCTTGACCAGTTCAAGATGTTCAGGTTTTACCTTGAACTTTCTGGTTTGAAGCAATGCCTTTCCTGCTATAATATTTCCTGGTCAGACCAGTTTTTTGGCAAACACTGCAGTATAGTGGTGTGCACTGAGAAAAAAAATTGTTATAGCTTCATATCCTGGACTTCCGGTTCTGGCGATCTGATGGCGGACGCGTCTCTCGGGAGCTCCCGAGGATGCGATCCGTGAGCCAGCGGATGAGAGGGGGTGCAATTGTATGCGCCCCCCCTGGGGCTCTTGCGAAGGGCTTCTAGCCATGGGGCACTGAGGATCGCCTCTCTTCCGGCACGTTGCCGGTGGATTGAGGCATTCCGATGCCCCAACGATCGTGCCGCTGTGTTCCAGTATTGGACTCAGAGACACACACCGGGACAAGCGAGTGGAGGTCGAGTGCTTTACACGTTTGATGGCGAGATCCACATGATCTACATTGAGAGTGAGTTTGGTTGAAATGATAACCAGAGAAATAACTGAAATTCCCCCCTAAAGTAAGTGAGGGGGGTGGGAACCCCCCCCCACAGAAATAAAAATGGACTTAAAGCATGCCTTTTAAAGGGGGGCAGAACTGAAAGCAAAATGGGACTATAGTAAGGAACTTTCAAGAAAATTACAGGTGAAATTGCAGACTTTAGAGACTTTTGACAAACTTTGTTAAAGGTAAACAACTTCAAAGATGTCGCTGAAGAAGACGGAGAAAGATAAGCAAAACGAAACCTAAGCTTCTTTCAGGAAGTGCTAGAATTTGAGCCTGTATTCAAACCCTACATAAGTCATGTTGGGGCAAGTCAGTATCTATTAAATGGAATACTGTGAAACAAACGGAAGAATAATTTACATTCAGCATACTTCCCTGTTTGCTCAAACGTCTTCTCAAAGGAAGTTGGCTATACTATGTTGTGCACAACAGAAACTAACAACTGTGAATAAATAGGCATTGCAAACTCAAAACTGAAATACCACCCAACATATAAAATAATGTAATGTTAACTTCCACACTCACTATATTTGTTATCATATTCCACCAGCATTTAATGTTTTCTTTAAAAGTTGCTTTCAGCATCACAGTTGAACATGGTAAGTTTCACTTTTAAACATATTGGCAGTGAACTTTGTGGCATCCATAGATCAAAACCCCATTAGTATTTTTGTGAAATTAAGATTCCCCCCCCCCCCAACATGCATCAGTTTGCATCGGTTCTGCTTGACAAATTATGTACTGTGCACCCTCCCTTGCCAGCATCTGAATAAAACTGTCTTTTACCCAGGGCTCTTTTTGTAGAAAAAGCCCAGCAGGAACTCATTAGCATAATAGGCCACACCCAACAGCAGGAACTCATTAGCATATTGGGCCACACCCCTGACAGCACAGCTCATTAGCACATTAGGCCGCACCCCCATGTTACCAGAAGTGTGGTTATCCAGCCACACCCACCTTTTGCTTCTTATTCTGTTTACCTTGCTTGTAGTCAAAACCCTGGGCCTTTTTTTGTAGCAGGAACTCCTTTGCATGTTAGGCCACACACCCCTAATGTAGCCAATCCTAATGAGTTTCTGCTGTTGGGTGTGGCCTATTATGCTAATGAGTTCTTGCTGGGCGTGGCCAATTTGGGAGCCAACCGAAACTCCGTTCCTGTGCGTTCCTGCCCAAAAATAGCCCTGCTTTTACCTCATAAAAAGAGTCCACTACATTATTTTCTACAACCTTTCCAGTAGCCTTTCACAGCCATAGGCATAGGCATAGACTAAAGTTCTTTCTTTCCATTCTACTAGGGCTTTTATCTGGGTCTGGGTTTTGCCTGGAAATCTGCTTTCAGCAATAGAATTAATCCAAGGAGCAGTTAGTTCCTCTCCCTACTCAGAAAAAAAATCTCTTTTCGTTTTCTGTCCAGCTTCTCCAGCAGTGCTCTCCCAGGCAAATCAACTATGTTATTTGTCCCTGTGAGCAAAGAGAGACACTGCACAAATGCATTCAGCACATGCTACTGCTATGAACAAAAGCTCTTTCTTCTCCATCTAGGGTTTAATTTGTGTCAGAATGACCTGAGGAATCTATTTCTACAAATAGATAAAGCAAATGCTGCCTCTACCAGCACCACTTCCCTCCCAAAATTCACTCCTTGTTTTCCAGCAAGCCTATGGAGTTCCCGGCCTCCCAGCGAAGCCGCTGAGGTCCGAGGGGGGGTTGCCACCCCGGAGGAGCCGGGGCAGCAACAGAATCATGACGCATGGCGTCATGACGTGGGTGGGGTGGGCGGAGCCGGTTTGGCTAAACCGCCGGGCTCCGCTCGCGCCTGACAGTTGCAGACTCATGCTCGGA